AGGTCTTTATACATATTGTTCTGCAAAAAAAGGGAAAGAAACAGTAACTGAAGTAAAAATATGAGGATTCATTTATGAACTGTTATGCCTCAGAAAATGCAAAATCCTATTCCTTTTCATTGCGTTGCTGAGGACTCATTATTGGACTGTTCTGATAAATTAATCTATGATGTATTGAGAAATGTTACAACAATCAGTTAATACCAGAAAAAAGGATAATATCCATTCCTTACAGTAGCTGTACCAAAAATAGCACAGCTAGCCCATTTACTACATCATCCCTCAGCTTTAATAGAAATATTTACTACCCTTAACTAAATATGCTAATCATTTCTCCCTAATATCACATCTTTATTACTTCCTTGTCCATAGACTGTGTTTAAGACAAATACATTGAAATAGTACTAAAATAAAAAACAAAGTGAATGTCTCACACTCAACTGAAAAACAAGCACAAAATTGAAGGATGCATGTTGGAAATAATTTATTGCCTATAAAGCGTTAAAAAAAAAGGTTCACATTTTCTGTGTGGTTTTAAAGGTGGTGTCATGTTTCAGAGGTAGTGTGTGTAAAATGTAATACAGAATTTGAAAAGAATTATTGACTTAGTTCAGTAATACAGTAAAATGTTCACCAGAACCAAAGCGCTGACCTGAAACCATTCTCCTTACAGGAACATTCTTAAGCATCTCTTTTATCAAAGAGGATTGCTCATTTGTTTAAAAACAACAACCACCACAAGCTCAAGTTTCTGCCCCATTCGTGTCTGTCGTCTTCTGACCAAAATGTCAGCTGCTGCCTTTCAGAGACAAGTAAGTACTCTTGAGTCAGAATAAAACCCTGTTCTGCCATGGAAAAAAAAAACAATTTTGTACTATCTTTTATTCCTTTTTTTGCTCATAACTATTAAGATTTCACATTTGGTCTATGTGGTAAAACATTAATTGGGTAGAGAAATCAAACACCATAAACCAGCTTCTCTCTTTTCTAATAACTAGCTGGAATTTTCTCACTAACCATCCTCTAACTTTGATCAGGCATCTCACAGCTGAGCAACTTACTTCACCTGATGATGATTTGGGCAGAAGAGGCAGAACCTTGAAATGCAAGCTGAAGGTTCGACAGCTGCCAGTCCTAACACGTGAAGCAGCCTCTCCCTTCACTGGCTGACCTGAAGGATCTGGGCAGCAGGACTGGAGGTAGTAAATCAAGCTTTCGGTTGTAACATTGCAAGTTACAAATTCTTCACGTTTCAGATATTCTGTGCTCTTCCATTTATGCATATTATTGTCTTTCCTTATGTTATCAGTATCCTGAGACCAACAGTCAGCTACGACTAGAGTACCTAGGGAAAAGTTAGTGCTGTGCATTAGCTTCTTTTCAACGTTACTGATACGGTAGTGCAACAGAGATCCCAAACCGGATAGCTGATCGATTTTAAGCAATAATTTCCATTTCCACAATAAGCATATTCATCATACTGTTGATTTTTCCTATCATTTCAACTGTATAACCACAACAGTAGATATAGCTGTCTCCGTCGGGTGAATGGACTTGATAAGCTGCTTCCCAATTTAAGAAGATGAAGACATAACCGGTACAGTCCTTTTTTCACTCAGAAGACTGCAAAGCCCACGATCTGCTTGTCATTTTCAGACTTTTTATTGCCTTAGCGAAAAAGAAATACTTGGAAAGATTAAAGTGCAGTGCTGCTTCAAGAACCAAGCACTCAAGAAAACTGACACTTCTATGGTACATCTGTTCGTGTACTTTTAAATCTGCCAAAAATTCACCTATTAGAATATTTACTGTTACTCACTCCTGCTAGACCTATAGACTTGACAGAAGCATCATCTGCAGGGAAATGAAGAGAGGCATAGCTTCAGGAAACCGCTTTCTTAAGTATAAGCAAGCTTGCTAGCATCAAAGACTTTCATTGCCCCCCAAGGAGCGCGAGCGTCCTGTCTCTGGTTTAAAGTGTCTGTTCTGAACTACCTTTTTCCACTTTGGTTTCTTCAGAAAGACGTACTTCATCATTCGTGTTCCGACAGAGGCATTAGGAACAAACAACGCCGGGAAGTCATCTTTCACAGACAAAGCAAATGAGAGCCTTTGCAGAAAGACGATAAAAACATCAATACGTGGCACTTCTGCTGTAGCGGTTATTGCAGAGCCAAACCACTGAAATAGCAAGGGGGCTTATTTCTGTCATCGTAACACAACACACCATTAGCTGCATCTGTCATGGGAAGTCCATGCAAATGATGAACTAGCACTTAATATGGGCTTTTGTAACCATCCTATGAACAGAAGAAGTAACCATAAACCGAATCCTAACATGCCACAGGCCCAGAGAGCCATCCCCATCGTTCTCCATCATCTGAGGAACTTTCAGAATTTCATCTGGAAACGAGTATCCCGGTGACTGTGTATCAGAACGCGACGCCTGTCAGGAAGATGCTTGTCAGTACAGATGCTTTTAAGCAAGTACACATCTTTCTTACTAAGATGAAGTTGGAAAGGAATGTGCCCAGTTCTCTCATACCAAGGTCCAGCTGAACAAGTTACACAGATTGGGATGCAATCTGCAGACTTGATTAGCACGTTACATTGCCTGTTAGGGACACAAGCAAACCAAAAAAACCCCCTAAATCACAGAGCACGTGTGCGGTGCTAGGCTGAAGTGCCATACTTGGATATGAATTTTCCTAACTCTCAAGGATGGTTAAATGTTATGTTACAGGACTTCCAAAGCTGCTCCTCAGTCACTGTACTGCAGAACGACTGTTGCTGCAGTGACTTCAAATATCAGTAATGGTAACATATAATTAAGATTTTTGTTTTACATATGCAGGAAATATACACTGATGCTGAAAAATCCCACAGAACAGTTGTACGGTATTATCCTATACAGCATTTTGTTACACAGGAATATAATTTATACACTTTCTTCCTGAATATCTTGTAATATTGTCAAGTGTTTCAGGGTATGGAAACATGACTACTTCGCTACCTTTTGTCTTGTCACCTACAAGAGAAAAGGGCCAAAGAATAACATGCCCACAGGGATGACGTGGGCATTGACTGCAGCACATCCTAAAGAGGATTCCAGCTTCCTTGAGGACAGGGACTTGCATGATTGCTTGAGCCTGGTAGCAGTTCATTCAAAATTAATTCCTTCGATTTGTTTGGCATATGAAACAGAAGTAAGACATAGCAAAATATGAATCATCAATGAAAGTTTTTCCTGTATAAAGCTGGATGACTTAATTGACTGTGAAATCCAGAACTCTCATTGAGTATCCTGCCTTTTGTCATGGGAATTTAAGTGGAAGCAGCAGGAAAATAGGGTCCAAATTGTGGCAAATCACAGTACTATTTTTTTTAATTTCAGCAAAGCTCACAGAAAACAAGAGGTTTCATTGTCAGTGGCACAAATTTCCTATCTAGAGAGAACAGTAATAGAAAGCATTGTTAACCCAGTATAGAAAACCCTTTATAAATCATTTCTTCAGAGTGAACAGAATTACAGTTGAGCCCTATCTTACATTTGAAGGATGGTACTGTGGCCTTTGCTCACAAACCTTAATTAATTTTAGATTGGTGGTCATTTCAACAGGCATGTAAAATACTGCTCCTCCTTTGAGTAAAGCTTTGAGGATGTGTCTGCCAGCCAGGATGTGACATTTCAGCTCAGGCAGTGAAAGGATGAGTAACCTACCACTTACCTCCTGGTCACACACACTGCCTTCCCTCTCTCCTGGGATTTCACTCTGAGTTTTAATGCCTAAGCTCAAATACAGGTCCAACAGCTTGCTTTTGCAGGGTTACTCTGTAGAATAGATGGTAAGAGGTCTTTTGAGAACTGAATTGTATAGAAGTCAGAACTGTGAAACTGTTTGGTTTTTTAAAACAGCTTTCAAAACTGCTACTATCCTTTATGCAGCTGACAATTAACAGCATTGCTAAAAGCTCCCCACACCCAAGGACAACACAGAGACAGAAAAAGACCCTGAAAGAACACAGCTCACTACTGGTACTAAAACAAAGCTGGAGAAGTGATTGAGGAGGAACAGACCAGACTGAGAAAAAACTAAAATTGTGAGTCAATGCCACTATTAGAGAAAAAAGAAAGTGTTATTTCCCCAATACACTGGATTTTCTGAGCTATACCTTGGCCCTCCCACTGAAATTAAGGGGATTACTTACTGTACTGCATGAGTAAGGATTCACCAGAGTAAATAATTATTTGGCATAAAATTGAAAGATCAGGCTTTTTACCAGACTGTGATGGGTATCCGTTTCAAAAAGGCTCGCTGAGGAGTATTCAGATGAGAAGTCATAGAGCATTAATAATACCATGCACCAACATGCCCTACTAAATTTATCTGAATGTGTTTGCACATCCATTTAATCAGATGAGTAAAGGGATTCAATGTGAACGACAGCCAGGAAAGAAGAAATTCATTTCAGCCACTGCCTGCAATCAAGCTCACAGTTTAGAAATGGCAACTGTAACGTGGCAGTTGCCAAAAACTTCATCAGACGGGGCTGCTTCAAAACCAGGTCACATTTAGAAGATCCGCAAAGGTCAATTCCAAACACTTGAACACCTTTCAGGATGCAAGGACAACTGTGGATTTATGACAGTGTCTTGATAAAATGGAGCAAAGTTTGTGGAAAAATACATAACCAATAATTAAAAGAAGGAACAAAACTTTAGCGTTCAGACTTTGACAAATAAAAACTGTACCTACATTCATAAAACCCTAAACAGTAATGTAAACATCTAATCCCATTGCTACTGTGAGAATTATCAGAAAGTCACATTCTGCAGCTATCAGGTTTCCCATATCCAACTAATTTGTTACAACACTTATGACTGCTTCTTTACATTAATAATTTATTGACAATAATTCAAATTTTTCAGTTAGCCTTTCAAAGTTTTTTCAGCTATTTTGGTCAGAAAATGGAAGGTTCAACAATCTGAAGTCACATAATGAAAAACACTTCAGTTAAATTTCAGATTTCAAAACGGTTCAAGCAAAACTCATAAAAAGCCTGTGATTCTATTTGGATTCCCAATTTGTAGTCCACCTACCTGAGTAAAAATGGGGAAAAAAATAATAAACAGGACTGGTGAGCAAGCAACTCTGAAGAATTAGCTGTCTGTAAAACAGGACATTTGTTTTCCATTCTTGGATACCTGCTCAAAAAGACTTTGCTACAGAGCAGGAGTTATTCTGGAGAGTCAGAAGTTATCCTAATCAAGGCCAAACCACTAAAAGTGAAACCTTTCCTCACACAGTTCTTTCATTTACCAAAAACAACATTTGAAATTTCTTGACACTGCAAACTGTAGCCATGACATACTACAGTCATCCTTCAGGAAGGTCTACTTCACCTTGGGTTTTCTTTTTTGGACTGAAGAACACTGGATAGCAAAACGCTGTTCTCTTGAAACCTACACGTTACGCAGGGTTTCTTTTTCTGTCAATTAAAAAAAATAAATCACAAACTGTCTGAGGCATTTTTCTCTGATAAAGATGACAAGCTGAATGAGGTATCGTCAGGCTCTGGGGATGCATGATTGAAATCCATTTCTTCTAGTTCAGGAGGTAAGTCTGAGAGCAGTGCCTGTAAGTAAAAAAATATTACAATACAGTATTAGGTATATGTTTTATGTCAGCATTCAAATGTCATTTAAACATATAGTGAAAAAACTTTGTTAAGCTTTTCAGTCAGTGTTGGTACTGGATAGGTTAAAAAAAAAAAGTCTGTATTGATAAATATTGAAAGGAAAAACATCGACCAAGATCTTATAACAATTCCAGAAGTTACTTAAGTTATTTTGGAAACAGCTCAAAACAATTTTCTTCCCTCCAAACTGGACAAAACCAAATGATCTATATTATTTTACTCAGATATTTTTAACATGCAAAAGCTTTAAAACATCTATAACCATGCTATATTGTGATCATGCAGGAGATAGAATTAGATGCTGCATACAACGTCATTGCTGTTAGAGATCTATTGGTTTGCCTCATAGATTTCAAATTTACTTTTCTTTGTATTCAGTTCACATGGTTTTATGAAAAAATATAGAAAACAACCATAAGCCAAATTTATTTTGGATGTAAAAGTGTTCTATGTTTCTTGCTTGCAAGTTACAGTTTCTATTTTTACACCTGAAAAACTGCAGATTGTAAAGGCAAAAGGAAAAAAATAAAAGCAACAATATCTCTTCCTAAATAAAGCCCAGAACGTTACTCATAGAAGACACCATCCAACCAAGCATTAAAAGAAGTGCTATGTATCTTATGTGGTGCAGTAAAACTGAAGCAGCCTGGCTTTTTTTCCTAGATCTCGCATCTTAGATCTCACAGCAGACAAATCCCAGCCCCTCAGCCTACACTGGTGCATCGGTTGTCCCTCTGTAGAAGTCTTTTCCTATGTCATTACTTGTACAATGATCTTTCTTTTGTTTAGAGTTCAGCTTTTCTTTGTCTGCAAGATGTTCAGCACAACGCTGCCCTAATCATAATTTGAGCCTCTGGGCACTACGGAATAAAACCAAGGGAGTCACAGAACACAATATGACAAACACCTTCCGTTACTAAAACCTACTTCAGGACTTACCTGCTGCTGTTCTTTATCATCTGATTTAATAGCAAGTATCAAACTCCGAGTAAATGTCTGTAGTTCAAAATACTTCTGTTTGTGATTCTCCAACTCATTCTCAATGAATCTGACTTCTTCATTCTGTGGGGGAAAATTACATAAAGTTCTGGAAATAATAAATAGAACTGCACCTGTTTAATGACACCTAAACATACTTGTGTTAAAAGTAGATGTTTTGAGTGAAAATGTGTTTATTATGATTCCTGCCAAAAACAGTATTAAGTACAACCAAAAGTTCTAAATTACAGAATTATAAAACAATGCATGTAGACTTTGGATACAAACAGAAGTTGATGAACGACCAGTAGCGTCACAGTAAACCTGCAGATGCGTACGCCGTTTCATTTCTCATTATCCTCCGCAAGAGACTTGTCACAGCCAGCCATGTTACACACAGACAGGCATTTCAGAATTACTATCACGAAAGCATTTGATTTGGGCCAAAGTTTACATGAACCTTTTAAAGAAGCACTGCTTTTTAATTTATAAGCATGACCTCTAATTCAATTTTTAAATAAAGAAAAACAAAGCCCAGGTCTCTTCTAAGAAGAAAAGGCAGGTTGGCTGTGAGAAGAGACAGCAACTAAATTCCATTATTACACCAGGAAACTTGACATGAAGATCAGGGAAAACTACTTGAAAATTCCTCAAAGCTACCACAAATTAAAATACAGCATCCTCTAGTGCAGCTGAGTTTGACATGCATCATGAAGCGTCAGCACACCAAGATCTCTCGGGATACAGAATAAATAGGAATGTATTTACAAAATGGAGAACTATCAAGAATGTGCATGCTGTGGCTAAAAAGGCACTTTCCCAACCTTTGCATACATACACGTTACTATACTTGCAAATCACTTAATATAAAAATAACAAACTTAATTAAAAATTCAGGTTTGACAAGTACTTCAGTTTATTCCAAATATCTCTTCTCCTTCAAACTTACCAACTGATTGGAATGCATGATCAAAATGCTTAATCTGTTGATCAGTGTAGAGCTAAAATTAATTTCCCCTGGTTATTTTCCTTTGCAAAGATCATGCAACCTAAATAAACAGTTCACTGTCAATGATCAAAGTCATTGCGTGTGTTTGCAAAAGCTGTCTGCATAGTAGCACCCAAATGCGCATCCTCCGTAAGATAATAGTGAAAAAAATACGCACACAGAAATTGTTAGTAATGCACAATGCACACAGAAAGTAGGCATTTAGGTTCACAGATAATTCATGGTAAGCACTGAATTTACCGAGGGATATCAGAGGCAAGAAAAACCCCACCCTTGCTTATGCAACCACGTGATTAATTAGGTTGGCAGTTTTGCATACAAAATGTTCCTTGGTGGCTGGTTTTGGTGGTAGCAAATAATGACATAAGATAATTTCACTGGTGAATTTACAAGCTGGCATTTTCTTTTAATGATGAAAATACATTTTTTAGTAACATAGAACTACGCTCTGATATTCACGCTTAGCTAGACTGGCTGTAATTCAACTTAGTTGATATGGAAAGGTGAGACTACGTGATGAACTGGAAGGTTTTTAACAAGCCTTTAAAAAATGGTTGTTGGCTTTTTTTTTTGCCCCCAGAAAATTCACATTTCTTCAGTCAAAACACTGCTCACCATACTGTTCCAGATTATAAAAGCTCCGAGATGAGAGAGAAATATTTGAGCTTTCGTAAGAAAATCAGCTTAATGCATTTCTTTCAGATGCAAACTTAGAATTTTCCTATTTAGCACTAGATTTTGCCCAGCCAAAGGAGGAATTCGAATTTACGCAGAACACGCATAGGCACGACTAATCACTAATGTCAAACAACAAACCAACAAACAAGGTTCTGCAGGGCAGGCTGTCACAACACGCCGTTCACTGTGGTGACAGGTGACATTAAGAAAAGGTCATTCCCTCTCCATATTCATTCTCCGTTGCTCTTACCAGGAAAAGACTGCTTGGAGGAGTAATTTTTGTTCTGAAAAGATGATCTACTTATTATTTTGGTAATTATCGTTAGTAGAACATCCCTCTTTTCTAAGTAAAAAAATCAGCTACATAGATAAAAACATGCTCAATATATAACACAGAACTGTGGCAACTCTCACGAGAGCAGTAACACGTGCAGAACCTTTACCATCTGGCAGAAGACAGCAGCTGTCAGGTATTCGACTGCTTTTACTTCCTCCCACAACTACTGCTTCCAGACATGTTCTGCACTACACGGCTAGAATGACTTCTTCTCAAATCCCCCCATTTTATTAGAGAATTCCAGCTGTTACGTCCCTTTCCAGAGCTGGCAGCACCATGCTGCACATAAAAGCGTGCCACAGCACCCCGAAGAACAATTCTCGCACAAAAAGAAAAGTTTTGGTTTAGAGGCTAAATAAATTACTTTGGGACACGTGGTGGGAGCTGCAGATGGCTGCAGCTAGAGTAACGTAACTGCTCTGTAGAAACAGGATTTTTCCTGCTTCCCTCTGGGTTGAAAGACGGGTAATCTGGCTCTAAATGGGATGAGGAGATGTGACTGAGCGGGTGATGTGTGGTACCATGACTTCCTCATAAAAGCAGGAGTCCCGGGGGGCTCCCACCTGCCTTTGCTGAATTCCTTGCACATACACCCATCTGAACTGTCTGTGAAGGACTATCCAGTTTAGCATCTCATAGCCTAATTACTCACCTTATAATCCAAAAGAGAACTCATTTGATCCACTTCAGAATTACTTATCATATCACTTTCTTCATCATCTATAATCTCTATTTTCTGAAACAGAAGTAAACGGTTCATTCCAAATATTTGAATGGGTAGATTAGACAAACAAACGACAATCCGTATCTCAAACTGGCGTGAAAGGGTAACAGGACCTTTTGCTTGCTCCTAAGAAATTCTGAATTGTGGAGCCCCCATTAGATGGCAATCATGCGCCTTGGCCACAAGATCTGGGAAGCATCCAAACTGAAACTGTCCCTACTCAGAGCTGCTGCCATGGTGACTCGGGCTGTTTGCAGAGGAGGAGCTATATCTCACCACGCTTTTGGCATCCCGTTGCACACTGTATCCCGTTACAGCCTGCACAAGCCTGCACTTTGCAAGCCATTTGTTGAAGACTTCCTGCAGGGCAAAGAAGGTTATGGAAGTTTATTCCTCTGGAGCAAAACAGACGTTATGGCAAGTGACAGGCAAGTCCTAACTGACCTACTTCTTGCCTAAAAAGATGAAGAGGTCTCCTTTGCCCTTCTGCGGCCATAGTGCAAGTCAAATGCCGTGAACAGCAGAGGGTGGTGATAGAAAGAACAGTTCCAAATGCATACACATGGACATTTTCACTTAATTCACAAAAATTCTTGGGACCTTTTTAGGTATCTTTAGAAACTCAATATAAAGTGCAGTGTTAGAGACCAACCTTAATGCTATTTAGAACTTTGAAATACATTCCAGTGGAAACCAGGCCACTCAAGTTGTAAAAGATTCACTTTTACATTAATTACCACGTGCATGTTCTGTTTTTCTTCCCAACAGGAAACCTTCTTTATGTAAGAAAATGACATTAAAAGGCTATGCCAATAGGAAAATGAGCAAAGTTTACACATTTTTGGTGAACCTATGAGATTTTAAATTTTTGTTCATATCTAAGCTAGATCTCAAAGAGATGGAATAAATTTGAATTACATAGTGATAAGAATGGCAATTTTATCAAGAACTCGGAAGGATGACTGGCCAGATGAAACTATAAATTTCATTACATTTTTGAGAGGGAAACAGGAGGGTTTGGGGTTTTTTTCTGTTTGTCACTATTTTTCATTGTTTTGACAGCTGTAAACATTTAAGAGACTGTATATAGTAAGTTAAAGCAATTTTACTACTTTTTTTTTAGTATACTGTTTAATACAGCTTAGGCAAGGGCCCACAATAAAGTGTATCGTACTGACACAATACATTTTAATGGTTAGTTCTTGAGGTGTTGTTTTAGAGGAGGTTTCTTCTCTGCAGCCTATGTGTGTCGTCTTCTGTCTGCCTGCAGACCAGTCATCAGCAATTGCCTTCTAATCACCAAGGAGAAATCCTTCAACAGAGGTTAACAGTCTCTCACCAGTAGTACTCACCAAGCTCACAAGCATGTGTTGAAGGTAGGGAGAGTAAACAACATTTTCTGTGCTTCAGTGTCTGACAACCCAGCTGAAGTGATAACATTTCAAAGCCTTAATGTCACAAAGATTTTCTGTCTGCTGCTATATCATACCCTGATTAACACTGTGATTCAAATATTTCTGGGTTTAGATTCAGCTTGAGGAAAGAGTCTCTAAATAAGTGCCAAACATTCACACTATCTTTCTTATAATTATGCATTTTAGGATACTAGGGGAAAGAACAGATCAGAATTTCAAATAAGAAAACCGTATCTTTTATGCAAGTCCAATGTATGTTAGTCCCACTTTAACTGCATACAGTTTTAAAAAGTTGTTATTGTTTTCAGAACAGAGTATGGAAAACTACTCCTCTTCCCCCCCGCCTCTTATTATATCAAATTATAGAATGCTGGAGTTCAGGTGGACTGAAGAACTGAGTCTCTCTGACATCATCTTTGCAAACCTTTTACCTTTGTCATTTTACATTCTGCATGTCCATGGTAAACGCATCAGCCTGAAACTCAGAGTGATTATATCTAAGGTCAGGGCAGGCCACTAAGGTAAACAGAAGGGAAAAAGGCAGCTGTTTCTATTCAGGCAACCACAGACAATACAGCCGTGGGATTTCAGTTTACACAAAAGATGATCATATATTAACAAAAGAAAGAAAATGTTCTCCCCTCTACAAATACATAGAGGGAAGGGAATCTCCTGTTCCCTTTCCCACTTCAGGTTGTGTGCGATTAACGTAACAGAAATGTTCTTGTCATGTTCTGAGCTACTGTCATTTAAGCTCTGACTGCAGTAAGAGTGCAACTGGGAACTGGAACCATCACCTGATCATTCTGCAGATAACTTTTAAGATAAAAATTACCCTACCACTTGGGGTCTTCTCTCCTCTTCCTCCTCTCCTTTCTTCTAATTTGAGAGAAGGCAGGCTAAACAAAGGGGACATATTGCATTATTTGCCATGACTCCTCCCTCTGTCTTTCCTTCCTTGTCTTACTGCAGCCAATTAAAACCAGCAAGAACAACCGTGTTTGACTCAAGGTGAATGCAAGTGAGAAAACAAGAAACATCTAAATAATGCCCTGTCGAGGGTACGGGAATGAAGAGGACGTACCCACCCCAGCCTGATCTCACATATTCAAGGTTAGCTACAGAGAGGACGCACTAGAGATCTGACTTTCTTAAAGCTACAGGAAACCATTCTCAATTATTATTCTGGGCTTTTTATTCTTACTGTTTTACTATACTAGGTACCTATAGAGCACTACCCTAGCATTGTGCTTTGCACTGTAGACAAAGGACACTGGATTGTTGTTATAATACAGAAAAAGCTGTGTAATTCCATTTCTACTGAATGTACATAGCTCTATTGTTTTAGTACTTTCAGTGCAGCTTCTTTTAGTGCTCAACCGATACGGAAGGACTCTTAGCACACTCAACTGAAGTGTTCACCTAGTGAAAAACACCAGTGTTGGACACTAGCCTCAATATTCGCAATTAAGGAGGTCACGTCAGTGGAAAAGGAAAGGTATACATACCACATTATCAGTAGATACTGGATTCTGGTCATCATCTTTGTGACCAATTTCTTCATTTTGAAGAGCTTCATTTGCCTCTTCTGCAGAAATAAATTAGTTTTTCAGATTTCATTCAAATTTTATGCTGAAGGAACATTAACAGACTTTACCACTAAATATGTCACATCTGCTAGATACAAAAGCAAAGTCATATTATCAATGTTTATTCAGAAAAAAATACTGGATGACTTTTTTAATAAAGACATCATATCACAAGTATTTCAGGGCAAAGTCATGCCACTCGCTACTTGAAACAACAGGAAAACTATCAGTTACTCTCTTGCAACATACCAAAACCTTCCTAGTTTTAGGTTCAGGTTGGAATATTCAAAGGTGATGAAGAGTTTCACATCAGAGGTGCCCAGAACTTTTTTATTTAAACATTAAAAGTAAATTAATATATGAAAAATCCTGCATGCCCTGAAATTATAGGGTACCTATCAGAATCCCACTTTCTCCTTGCAGGCACTGACTAGTTATGAACCAAAAACTGATCAAGCAGATTATTTCATTCTTGTATGGCAAATGTTTATTCCTAGTGAATCTAAGCTTCTCGCTTACGTATAAGCAAAGTATGCACTTGAAAACAGACCAAATCTTCTCCTGAAATTTCAACTACAAGCACTAGATGATTCTGTTAGCCCTAACTATGGCCAGCGTGAAAAAGCCAAGAAAGATAACCATATACTTAATCAGAGGGATGAATGTTTCTCAGATTTATTTTAATTCTCCACACTTTAATATACTGTCAAGAAGAAAATGTTTGATAGAAACAGCAAATCAGAAAATAAACCAGAACACAGAGGCAAGACAGCCATGATAAAAATCTTAAACAACGTCGTTAACAGCTAGGCTATCAATTGGAAATACACTGCTTCCAAGCGCTAGTAAAATTACACAGTTCTGCAGAGGGCAGAGCTTGCGTGAAAAGGGTCGAACTGTCCAGCTATTGCACCTGAAGAGGAAAGGAGGCATGGGGAGCGAACGGGCAGCAGATGTGCATGTGGGATGCTGGAAGAGAGGGCAGATAATGATGCAGGGTGTATCACGTCCACGCAAACACAGGGGTAATGGGATTTAACTGAGGAGTACCAACAGTTTCAGAGAGTGGATAATATTTAGGCCACACAGAGACAGTTATTGTTTTAAATAACTTTTCTACCAGTAAAATATCTCTAAACTGAGCCAATTTTATTTGAAGTTCTTTCAAATAAATTTAATCTGCCAGTGGCCACAACTTCAGAGAAAATTTCTGCTAGCAGCAAAAGCAAATGGGTCCAAATGAGAGAACCGTAAAGCAGGGAGCAACATATGATCCCACCGTTAGGCTCAGAGGAATGAAGGTCACTGAAGATGCACCTGAGGGATTCTGAAACAGTCTGAAGCACCAGTCACTCAGTAACCCTGACAGTCACCACTTGGATTCAATAGTCGAGAGAAGCAACTCCCTACAGCACTTTCAACTCTTTAAATATTCATCCTCAGCTAATATAAACTGGCACAGCTATAATGGCTTCCACAGAGCATTTACGCAAAGTATGGATTCAAGTAACATACATTTAAAAAGGTAAGGCATTATAAGAACTTTAATGCTTAGTTTTGCATCAGAGTACAGCTTTTTTAAAGTATTTACACACTACATTTTAAAAACAAGTGCCATCAACACTTCCACTCTAATTAGGTGACTAAAAGTATCTTTTTCCTGTCTTTGAAAGTGTTTTTTTGTTGTTGTGTTTTGGGGTTTTTTTATAAATTAGGACCAAAAGTTACAGTTCTCAAACATTAAAATAATCACATATCTGTGCCTGAATAGTACACATGATTACTGGTGGAAATATTTTCCAGGAAGTTCAAAAGAAGATGAGCTGCAGCAGTGAAACCTACTCCTTTGAACTGAAGAAATGAATAGAAATAATTCTTGCAGTAGAATAAAAGAATGAGAGGGGGATTCTTGGATGCTCTGGAAATCCTATAGTTTTCTTGCACTTCCTTAAGCTTTGACTCTAATAATCTACTCATAGTCTTACAGCCTTATCCTGTTTTATGAAAGCCTCGTTCAATAAATGTGGTGTTATTCCTCACTTTAAGCTACAGAGAATTCAGCCTCTTCCCCGTCACCATTTTCTTTCAAACTGATCTGACTAAATCAGTTCCTTCCACACCTCAGGCAAATCAAGGACTCTTAGATTCTGCATCTCACTTGGCTTTCAATCACTTGGCCCATTTCTTTATCATCTTAGTCTCTTTACAGCAGAATATGACAAAGCTATCACAAATTCATTCCCAGCAGTTCTCCGTTTTTCTAGTTCTTTCCTTTAAACTGTGCAGACAAAATGACAAGATCAAGTCTGGCATATTAAGCTGCAATAGTATGCACTAGATCAGACTTCCTTTTAGTTTAGAGAGCAAAGGCTTTATTGATCTCTTCTAATCAGAAGCACTGGGAGCAATTAGTTGAGCTCGGGAAGGTAGTGAATGTGCCAAGCGGCAGTTCATAGCTGCTGCCCTAGGCCCAGAGCACTAATGTACAAGAGGGAAAGGGAAAGATCAATTTAATGTGGTCATGCAGTTCTGGGAGGTGGAGTAAAAGGGAATTAAGCCTGAGACACTTATCACTCAAGATCATGCAATTTACTGAGAACACACAGGCACCCCATCTGTGCAGTTCTAAGGCTTTGAGTAGTCCCTTGCTACCGACTTTGATCTTTTCTGTTGGTTTGTATTTGCTTGTCAGAGACCATACACGCACCGCAGACAGCCTAATGGAAGAAGTTCCGCTATGCTTTGACATACGGTGAAGCTCTTTCAGTTCAAGACCAAGTTTGAGCTAATATATCTTCTGAACGTACCTCATCAGCATGAGTTTAGTATCAGGAAAACTGGAAGTACATAGCTCTGGTCAGCTCAAAGCAGACAGGTTCACACGCATTACTGCTTCTTTAGATGAGAACTGTTGGTGTGATTTGGGCAAACAGGAATGGATATTCAAGCTGGCTGTGTAGAACTGGCAGTTAACAGAGAATAGTTTTGAAAACCTGGCTTCCTAGGGAAGTGAGACAGACATTTGTACTGTTTGTCCATCTCTCAGCTGCACTAGCAAATTGTGAACCTGTCAATTAACTTCAGAAGACTCTGTCAGAAACGAAGGTCTTATGAGAAAAGGTTTCTGCAAGCTTTGTGAACACAAACCCAACAACATTCATATAGAGAGGTAAAAGAAAGAGACCAAACAGTACCTTCAGTATGGCCAAGGCA